ATGGATTGATATGAGTGAGAGAACGATTGAAACTCACTGGCAAACATAAAAACTCAAATACCTACAAACTAAATCTTGAATATTAATCTGATGCTCGCCAGTGACTGACGACAGGACAAAGTTGACTAGAGTTCTAGTGAGAAGTCATGACTAGTGAGGTAAAAGTGAGGACAAATACTCGTCGACGACACTGGCCAGTGACCGAGTTGGAATTCATGAGGCACTGGATCGAGTCCTATTGACTGAATTTGACTTTTAACCGCAAGGCCCTGAGTTCGATGCCAAAGGTTACTCGTTACCACATACCCTTGAAGAGTCTCGAATTAGGAAAAAAACAGATATCAGGTAATCTCTGAATTTCAGTGTATTATTGTGATATCAATCCACGGTCGAACTGAAAACAAATCAAATCTCTACAAAATAACTCTTGAAAAACAAGTATGTTTTTCTGCTTATTGAGAACAGCTTTGGATGTATATGTAAAAATATTCATAAATAAGCGTAATATTACAGAAAACGTTATGAGTTTGAAATTCACTCTCAATATACTTCATGACTTATTGATCAGTATAATTTAAACTATTCAGAAATTTATTTTATGTTCAATAATGAATGCACATGAATAGAAATATACACTAATCTGTTGTTCTTATTTACAGAAAAATAACAGATTAATCATCGTAATAACGACTTTAAGTGGAAATAGAGATTGATAGTAATCTCCACATAAGATAAACAATGAAACTTATAAACAGTGAGGTATGAACGAGGGTGGGTAGACTTCAGTCTCCATCTCAAAATAAGTACGCGTTCCCAACCCTCTGGCGGGTAAGTCCTATTCACGGCCTTCATGCAACAGCGGGGGTGATCTTCAAAAGAGTGGAAAGACGAATTTGCACCTCTAGCACCTACAACTCGACCGAGATAAGTGATGGTGTACCTTAGGAGGCTGAAAAAGCATTATTCCAAAAATACCTGAGGTGTGTGTTCTCCAGAATCCAAACAGATTGAATGACGTATGAACCTTTTTTCGGTCACCAGAAACTATGACAACGCAGCTATTCACTTTGTTCTATTGCCTTGTGAAACAGGCTTTAAGTCAAACACATTCGAGGAGGTGATCAATTAAAACAACTAACTCCTTCAGACTGGCCAACCAGAAAGTACCTCATCCATCGCACAAATTGTAATATTTTATGTGGTACAAGATTTTGATGAAGAAAATTGAAATTTATTGGTGAATTGTGAAACCTGGCTAAAATATAAAGTGGTGAATACCATTCAGAAATGACTGTCGTCAAAACTGTAAGAGTTTGAAAAGATGAATGTCATCCATTAGTGGAAGCGACTAAAAGAGTTCATGATGTATTCTTTTGAAAAAAGTTAAAAGATTAAATAAGCATGAAAATGATCACCAATAATACACAAAGTTAATGCACAACAAGTCACCATGCTGGTAAAAGGATAGGATAAACCGTTTCTGTATGCCCAACTCAGTGAAAGCATTTCAAACAAAAACGAAAACCAACAAGTTTGAAGAAGAAGCATCGAAGAGCAGACCTCCAGTGATATTATTGATTGGACACTAGTCAGTAACTAGTGTAATATGTCTAGTACTTTGTTTCGTGCAGACTGAATTCTATTAGTCAAGTTTGCAATGTGGCCACCGTGCTAGGTGGATCTCCATCACTTTGTACTGTGAATTGTTGGTATCAGATGGTTGGAGGCAATCGGCAAGAAGCCTAGGACTTTGGTTTCGTGCTTGTTGCCAGTCACCAGTGAGAGCGAGGCGTATCTACAACCTTGAGGGAACTCATATCTCTTCTGAGATTGGAACCTGCATCACCCAGTGCTGCAGTCAGAGACGTTACCACTGAGCTATTCGGTTAATGACTAGTTACTGACTAGTATCCGATAGAAAATATCCAATACAGTCCTACAGGAGCTCAGTCATGAGCCCGAATAGCTCAGCTGTGACGTCTCTGACTGCAGGCGGCACTGGGTGACGCGGGTTCGAATCTCAGAAGGGACATGAATTTCTTCAAAGTTGCAGATGCCCCTTGCTGACAGTTACGAAACCTAGGTCCACGGCTTCCTGCCAGTTGTCTCTCACCACCTAAAAGACTTCAAATGAGCATAGAGAAAATAGGGGGTAATGACGACATCTAACAACTAGGTAACGACAGCATGTATCAGTAACTATCAAATTCCATCACTTATCTAGCCAGCATCGTTTCAAATACAGGTGGTACTGATGAAGATGTCAAAACCATCCAGGACGGGAAAAAAGACAGAGATTCATTATTCCGAAATAAGTCTGAAAATCTAATGTACTAAGCAAAAAGAATAGGATTCCTATTTCCGACACTTATGTAAATTCACTATTTTATATGGTTTAGAAACTTGGTTCACACGTCACAAAAAGCAATTCCAACAGGTTGCAGACCTTTATCAATAGCTGCCTTTACCCCATGTTGAAGATCAGATAGCTTATTAGAAAGAATTTCCAGCACGGACCTCCGGTGACGAACCAGTCAAGTATCTGTTGCTCAACAAATATTCCAAAGAAGATGGAGGGGAATTGGACACTTCCTGAGGAAATCATTGGGTGAAATCACGAGCCATGCTATTGCTCTAGTGAAAACTGATTGGGAAACTACAAGTTGGGCGTGGGTTTGACAGTGACGTGGAGGAGGTCATGTAAGGAGAAGATGTGAGACAAAGGGCGATCGTGGAACCAACTAAAAATAACTACAGAAAAAGGATGAAATGGAGATGTGCTGTTGAAGCCATATGTCCCAATCAGAACACAAGGGAATAATTTCAGATAAACAAGTGAATATTTATTCAGCATATTAAAGTCACATGAACATTTTTATTTCAATAGACACTTAAAACCTGCGATGATTCCTTGTGAGAATCATATTTCAGGTAAAAATTACTGAATGTAACTGAAGTCAAAAAGATTTGCAACTCAGGTGTGAATGGTTTCAATATGACTGTATTCTTTGTGCTGACTGGCTTAAATTAATCTTCTTCGACTCTCTAAACGCCTTCCATTATTTAATGTTTACGTTCTTCTGTGATTTAGATGATACAGTTGGAGTGTGACAAGTGAGCATGTTACAAAAAATAAATTCATAAATCATTTCTTCGCTGCTGTTTTTTTTTATTTCCTTCCATAACGGTCTTAGAAAGATTGACTGAGTAGTTGACATAATAAAAACACTACATAACAATCAGTCAAACTCTGAATAGTACGACTTATATCAACTCCTTGTAGGTAGTTACATCTGAGATCTTAGTTGGTAGGCAGACTTTCGTCGTTCCAACTCAATCTACCAGCTTTGGAACAAGTTAAATTAAATTACCAAAATGGTTTTCTTGGAAACATTTAATTCAATAAGCATTGAGAAAATTATTGATAAGTATAAAATCACTCAAACTGTTTTAAAATACAGCGAAAATATTCATTTACACGTCTAGAAAAAACAAAAAATCGATAATTTCCTCTTCTGGCTCCGGTATCATTAGTTCCGAAAAAAACCTTATTCTTACAACTTCATTTTCTCAGGGATAACATCACTGAAATTTTAACACAATGCCTAAGCAATACAGTGGTAAAAAAAGAGCAAACAGTGCTGCTGAATTATGCTGTGCCTTGAAACCAACCCCATTTTGCGTTTAGGAGTTAAAGAGAAACTGCCTAATTTCGTCTCAATTTGACTGCTCCAGTAGAGCCAGTTACATAGGCCATAAAATTAGACGTGTTTCTTGGCGGATCTCCAAACATCACCCTGCGTGGTTAAGTAAAGGATAAACAAAATCCATTCATAGAGCTCTATTCTCTGTCACACGATTGATGTTAACGAGGCTTTCAAAGTCATCTACCGCGCATACCAAATAATCTTAACTTTACCTTTGGAGTTTGTCGTCTACTGCATATTGATGAAGCTGTCGGGTTCCACATTGAGAAACCTACATTATGTATCGAAAAGAAGTTCGCTCAGACAATTTCCTTACCCCCACTGGCCATCAAAGTCTTAGTGATCTTTAGATTTTGTAGAAATCTCCTGAATTTTATTTTATTTTGTATTTCCTATTACATTTTTATGCCTATTATAATTTATGCATTTTTAATGAACTGTAATTCCATTGATCTTACTTGACAAATCCTTATTGTTTAAAAGACACCAGTATTTTTAATGACTACCGTTCTGGAATATATATATATATATATATATATAATCGTATAGCCAGAAGAGAAACTATTCGAAAAGGATATTCTTTACTCAACCACTTATTTTTTCTAGATGTTTTAAAATAATCTAAGTTCGTTCATAGGACGGTTTATAAGGCTAACTAACTTATTCGTCTCATTCTTTTACTCCTCAAGAGGAGCATAAGGCTTCAAAATTGAGCTCTGAAGTTGCAGTGGTGGTGTGGTATTGTTTTTACGGGATGGTGCTATTGGTCTCACGCCCAATCTTGCCTCTTTTCTCAGGCTTACTAATGGTTAGGCAAGGATTAGAAATGAATCGGCTGGGAATCACACTGGGACTTTCTACTTTGCTGGTGAGAATTTTACACATTTGAACTACCGAAGCACTACTACTGTGTTGATTACTCATTTAAAAAATCTAAATCAATAATTAATTCTCTATAGACAAAGTTTCGCTACTTATAAGTAGACTAAGTATGCTATTCGAAATGTCGCCAACGAACACATTCATTTGTAGTTACGATCATACTGCCTGGCAGGTGTCTAGTTCTGCATAACTGTTAACATTAAAAAAAAACGCCAAGACGAACTATTCACTCTAAAAAGAAATCCTTACACTCCATCACCTAATGGAACGTCGAAAGTGTAGATAACAAATAGCCTATGTCCTTATGTGTGCGTAGGAGGACGACAGGAGGCATGATGCACTATTATTGATACTGAACGAAAAAAAAGCATAAACGTCATAATAAAGTAAACAAAAATAAAGGGAAATTACCTGTTACTGATTTTTGATCAAACTTTTCAGGCAACTGAAACGTGACAGCTCTAGATTTTGGCGGTTTCAGAATCTCATTGAAATATCCAACTGAATGTTCTTTCATACAATTTTGAGTATCTCTATTATAATCTGGAGGTAAGTCATCATTTTCTAAATTGTAATTAGATTTCTTTTGTTGATGATAGGAATCATTATTCTCCTCTTCCATATCAACTTTATAACCCGGTTGATACGATTGTCTTTTATGATTTTCATTAGTATTATTATTATTATTATTATTAGCAAGTGATGCACGAACCATATCAGATAAACTTGGATGAGAAAGTGATCGTGTCAATTCAGAATCACAGACAATCACTTTTTCACCATTTGAACAAACAGCTATCGACTGTATTGATCTGGGTGAACTAGATGCAGATAAACTAGGCGAAGCAGCTGACGACGAAGTCATTGGGGAGAAAACTGTTTTCAAACCTTCACCTTCTTGACTTTCATCACCATCATCATCATCTTCGTCAAGACCATCCAGGGACTTTCGAGGAGCACATATAAGTCCCAAAGCAAAAATCAGTATCAAAGGAATGAGTCCCAAGGCTGGTTAAAATTAAAAAAATAATAATAATAAATTGTGTTAAACAATAGTTTTAATCGGAATCAGATGAACACAGCTTGATTAACATGTATAAGGTTATTCACATTCACTTACCAATGCTTTCAACTCATTTAAACACTTACACAAAACATTATTTGTAAATTTCATAACATCCTTTTAATGACTGGACTATAAAAACATGCACTTTTATTCCTTTGCGTTCCAAATAGAATTTATAGCTTCAAAAGCACATTTCCATTGAATTCTGCTTTCTACAGTCCTTTACACGGTGTCTTCCATGCTACCGTTGAACACACAAGCCCATCTCGTTATTAGCCATTCGGGTTCTAAATCGAGAGCCCTCGCGGTGTGTGATATCACTCGACATTCCCCCTCAGAGTGTTTCCAGTCCTTCTCCGTTTCTTACGCCATATTTGTTGGGCATTAAGTTGTTGGTTGGTTCATTCTCAAAGTTCCTCATTGTTTACTTTTTCTGAACATATGATCTTCAGTGTAGAGCGAAAGCGGCTGTTGGGAATGTTTTTGATGAGGCGCGTGACAAGTTATTGAACCAAGTAGAATAACTGACTTGACACTGATACTGAGAATATGAACTCCATTCGGTTCGACTGAGTGCAAAAGATTTCTAGACTAATTCTAAATTGACTACTGTGTATTTTGCCTTTGATATCATGAACCATGTCTCCCACTGTAGTTGAAATAATGAAAAAAAATTGACTTCCTTGGAATTTCTCCCGTTGGCAGTGATTGGTACTTGTTGTTCTTGGTTATTAGATATCTTCATCTACATTCACTTCAAGTCTTGTCTTTGATGCTTCTTTCAGCTTGTTGGTTTTTGCCCCTACTAGAAATACTTATATTGAGCTCTGTATACAGAGAAATACCTTATGTATATTTCGAATTCTTAATTTCGAGGCACTAACAGTTTTGACAATAACCATTTATGAACGATGTTCACCACCTAATGTTTTAGCTTACATAAGACTATTGAAGTCAAGTTTCACAATTCACTAATATATATTTCAACATTCTACATCAAAATCATGTTGTTTCCTCTGACAGAGAATTACTGCCGATCTCTATTTCCACTTATACTATTTCTATATCAGAGCATTGAATCGTTATTATTATAATTTATCTTTACATTTTTTTCTTTACAGGAAAACAACAGATTAGTGTTCTGTTTTTTCAACTTATTTGCCTTCATTATTAAACATAAAATAAATTTCTGAATAGTTTAAATTATGTTGATCAATAAATCATGAAGTGTATCGGGAGCGAATTTCAAACTCATGACTTTTTTCTCTAACATAAAGCCTATTTATGAATACTTTTCATATATATATATATATATACCTAAAGACATTCGCCAAAATAAACTTATTTTTGGGAAAAAACTGGTAAAAAAGGATTACTAAATCCTTCGAACAATCTAGTTTTGTTTAAAAAATTATTTAAAATAATGGTTGATGCTGAATTGGCGCTTAAATTCCTTCAGGAAATTCGTAACATATATAACTTGGATTAATATACGTGTAAAACTTCAGCACTGTGATAGTATCTAATTCCATATTAGTCTGTTTATTAGATGTATCACACAGTGAAACAGTATTATTATTTACTGGAGGACTAGGTTTCGAATGCAATTTATTGTTCATAATCATACCATTAGTTATAATCAGACGATTCCGAAACTTGAGTTTTATAGTTTCCTTAATCCTCTCCTATTTGCCGTAGGGGTGGTAGAATTTTCCAGGTATCTGTGGACAGGTGTTGCATCATTCCTGTTACATGTATTTTGCAGTTAATTCGATAAACATAGCTTCTGTTATCAATCACTCGCTCCACCCTGTGACATAAGATTTCAAAATTGTCATCTAATCCTATCCATCCTATAATGTATGGTTGTGTGTAATTGCATGTAGTGAATGCTATAGCTAAACTATTCTCTAGATTTCTTATCTTGTTCCGCTCAACTAATCTAGATTCTGCTAGGTTTTTATCCTCGGCTAGTCTGACTGCTCCTGTTGTACTACTTTGACCAATTTATTTAACCTGATAATCATTCAAGTAGGGTATTAGATAAACTGTTGTTTTGTTTTATTGGCCTTACATGATCCTTTACCGTCATCGGTGGCATTGCGCTAGAAAGCTCGCCAACCATAAATGTGGCTCGGGGTTCAATCCCAGGCAGACGCACTCCTTTACCTCACTGAGCCAGTAATAAAACTGGTAAAGAGGGAAGGTTGGACATAAGGCTAACAACCCCATCCCGTAAAAATAAACACCACTGTTACCAAAACTTCATGCCTCTAGCTTGAAGCCCTTTGTCCCACTGGGAATGTAGAAGAATAAAAAAACAGGATCCTTTAACCGAGAAAGCTTGTTTTTATTTGAGTTTGTTGGTTTGAATGCCAGCCACTTTTATTCCTGCATTGCTAAGAATTCTCCTAAAGGTTTCCGAGATTCCTTCTTTGTATGGAAGGACTACTGATGATTTAGATTCCTTATTGTTGGTGTTGTCATTATCCTGCGCATGTTCGACATACATGTCTTCATTAATATTACTACTATCATTATTGTTATTATTATTATTATCGCTATCACCACTATTATGACCTGGATATTTACAACCTAACTTTGTTCACATATACGTTGTTAAGCGTATTTTACCTCGGACATATAAATCTTTAGATTATTTTTTCTCTACATATATGGCCGGTATAATCTGAATTATTGATTGATAGGATGTGAGTGTTGAATTAGTTGTGTTCTCTGATGAGCTGATTGATTCAATATCGAAATTTTCGTCGTCCACCTTCTAGACAACATCTTCAGCTCAGGTTTTTGTATAAAATGAACGTATTTAAATTCTCCATGAATGATGTAGTTGTATCTCCTGGAAACCACTGTCGTTACTGGATGTTAACTTACGTCTCTATTGTCCGTATTTTCATTAACTTGGAATTCGAACTTTCTTGCCATGCGATTTATTTTTTATTAGCTGATAAATTTGGTCTATAATGATGTGTTTTTTAATTTCTAATTCATTTGAGTATCAGACACCTATAAATTCCCTGGAGGCATTTTTGGTGTTTCCTCTATTTAAAACTTCTACATTATCGTAATCAATTCCAAATCAATACAAATGTTCAATAGAGACGTTAATTAACAACCAGTCACGACTGTGGTTGTCATCATTCATGGGGAATTTAAATTAGTCTGTTTTATACTAAAACCTAAGCTGAAGATGTTGTCTAGAAGGTGGACGACGAAAGTTTCATAATTAAATCACCTAGCTCCTCAGAGAATACAAATAATTCAATATCATCCACCTGAGCTACAAATCTTCTCGAGAATGTGAATGTCTTAACTTTTTCCGTTTTATTGTTTGGAGGATTTCACAATGAGCCGACATCAGTTAGAAAACCATTGGAAAACCACTTGAGAGTGCTGGACAGACGTTTCATCATCCTAGTTTGAGACTCTTCATCAGTATGAACCCACCACCGGGGTTGTAACCGAAGGCTTTCTGGTTGCAAGGCAAACCCGTAAACCATTAAACCACTGTGACCCGATCCAATGACCTGCTCATAATTTCTAACTTCTGCCAATTCAAGACATAGCGTGACCACTTCGCAATGTCTTCTTCGATGAGTTACTGCTTCACCTTCAACCTCCGTTTTCTCTTGTATAGTTTTTTTAAATGTTCCAGTAGGTTTCCACATAAGACGATTAACTAATGCCTAACAAATAGTATCATTATATCAGCCTAAATGATGCATCACATTTAAAATTACGATGATGATGATGATGATGATGTGAAAACAGAGTTGCATTTTCAGGTATCGTCTTATTTTTTTAGATTAACTATTTATTTTTTTGGTTGATCAGGCTTCATGGAAACGGTTGTTGAGTAACATTCAAAATTTAAATATACCATCTGAAAATGAAAACAAAAAAACAAGCTTATTTTGTTATGCATATATACATATGTACTCGCTTATTGTTTTTGACATTGTCAGGAATTATAAATCACAGACTTCTCGGAAAATATGAAATCTACACATGAATATTATTCTATTACTCTATTTTTGATGTATGAATTATTTACTGTAGTTGAGTTTATTAGGCGCATAAACTATATACACAGTCTAGTAGAAATAAACAAAACAGAGAAAAAGGTGTACTCTGTATACAGTCAGTCAGTTGCCTTGTAAAATAAATTTACATAATGTCATCCTGATCAGACATCACTGCAGCATAACTATATATGCAATCAGAGATGTAGGCAGGGAACAAAATCTGATGCAATCCTCTATTGGTCTTATACTTTCAGAAAAAAAAAGAGACAGGAGGTAAGAAATGGGGAAAACAAATCAAGGCGTTATGATATTCCCATTTGTTTTGATCCTATATTATATAAGTCTCATCAATGTATTCGCAGTTATTCATTTGCAAAGTCTGACTAAAACAAATCATGTTTATCAAGCTTTTCAAACACTTTATTCCCATATTTACTGTGTATAATACTTACCAGTCTTTCTCTGTCTTTATTTCATTTTACGTCCTCAAACTATTTGCAATACAGGTTTGATCACAATTCGAGATCAGTTAGAAGATTACTGGAAAACTAGGAAGTACTGGACAGCTTTTTTGTTCTGTTTCAGGAACCTACAGTAGTACGCTACCATTGAAGCCCCAGACTACGACCATGCCGATGGCAAGATGAGCTCGTAGACCATGTCCACAAACGAGCACTTGATGATCAATCTGATGATCACTAAGATCTGCTTTGTCCATGAAGTTATCTGGACTTCTAGTGAGAATTCGTAAACAGCAAGGTCCGCAAAATCAATTGAATTACCTATGGAATTGACTAATGGTTGCGATAAACATCACAAACGGGCAGAAGTTCCAATTCATGAGCTATTGGATAGCATCATGTTGGCTAGATGGTCCATAAGCTCATCTGATAATC